TTTTTAATATATTATATATTATATATAAATAATAATAATATAATAAATATAATATTATAAATAAAATAAATAAATAAATGTATGTAATAATAATAATAATAATAATAATAATATATATAATGTGATACATATTATATATACTATTTTAAAAAATAATAAAAATGATAAAATGAAATAAAAAATATTATCATTATTATTATTATTATCTTACCTCCTAATCTCCGTAAACTACAGGGTGATCTTTTTTTATACATGCCGGGATCCTCGTATCTATAAAAGGGAATATATTTCATATCTTGAAATATTCTTATATTTACACAAGCACTACTAAATATATATATATATATAGAAAAAAAAACGATAAAGATAGATAAAAACTTTAAATATATATATGTGCCCTTAATTATGAAAGTGATCTAAGTCATATATCTCTTGTTTCGAGATATTTAAAGATTTATACTTGAACGCTATATGAATTTTATACAATATTGAAATAACAAACATTATCTAACGATTCATGTTTGATAATATCATTTTCAAATTACATTGAATTTATTTAGTTTATAATAATATAGTGCGTAATAACTGATAAACTCATTTTTTTTATTAATTTTTACTTAGACCACTTTCATAATTATGGGCACATATAGGCTGTTACACTTGCTTGGATTTATTTAATATTTGTATTACGATAATAACATGTAAATAATATTTACCTCGGTGAATCTTCCATTTTTATGTAGTAGTAAATACAAATGAAATTTATCCCTTCTTAATTGAAAAAATATAGATCTTCTTGGATTCTAAAAAAAAAAAAAAAACAGAAAAAAGAGAATAATAATAGACCAAAAAAAAATTAAAATAATTATTATGATTATTATTTTATTTCTTAGTGATTTAATAATTTACGAAATCCACCAACCCCTTCCTTTTCTCCTTAATGAAAAAATCAATCAGAAATAATTGTTTTCGTCGTAGTTAACAAATTGACTTACCAAAAAAGAAAAGAAAAGAAAAGAAAAGAATAGAAAAGAAAAGAAAATGAATAAAGTTTAGCGAAATTATTGACAAAAAAAAAAAACAAAAACAAAAACAAAATCAAAATAAGAAACGTTCCGTCCGTTGTGTTTTCATAAAACGACTGGCGTAAATTGGTGCAATATAACGTTCTATACATATATAATTACTAATCATACATGCAGAATCTGTTTCTTTTTATGTAACTTCCGCCGCAAGGCTTGAATGTCAACGATATCGTATGTGTTAAAACTATACAAGCTTCGTCATTACCACACATGTAAAACATTTATATATTTAAATATATATATATATATATATAATATATAAAATAAATAACCATGTGTTTTTAACATAAATAATGAAGAACATTTGTTTAAAGATAACTAACTTATCAAGTTAATAATTCAAAGTATTCGTATTGTTTTGTTGTAACTATTAAAGAAAATAAAAAATAAAAATAAAATTTTAAAGTTAAAATTGTTAATGAATTATCACTTAGATAAAAATGTTGATTTAATTTATTAAACATGACTCATAGATTATTATGAATATTGATTATTATACACGTATGAACAATATTATTTTACCAGTTGTTTTTTTATTTTTTTTTTTTTTTTATATTGTAGTTATTAGATAACTATGTGTTATACAATGTTGTTTGACTTGTAACATTAATTATTTACATTTGCTTATTACTCTTTAAATGTAGTTATTTATTTATTTTTTTTTTTTTTTTAATTTGATAGATAAAGATAAATTGATTACGGATTATTGATGATTTCTTTCGAACAATTTTGACGAAATCAATGAAATTAAAAAATACCAACATTGTATTTTATTAATGTCATTGTTATTCACTGACCTTAAGATCAATAAGGTAAACGTGTATATCCCAGAATTTCATATCGACCTAACGACTTAAGAATTCCAACTAGCTATTTCTCATATTCACGATCTTTAAATTCCCCAATGAAAAAGAATGCGAATTTATTGTAATATCACCTATGAGATCTATTAAAATTCATTCTATATAATAGATGAATAGAAGTACAAAAGAAAAAATAAAATTAAAATTAAAATTAAAATTAAAATAATAAAAAATGAAACAAATAATAATTCAAAATATCCAATCAATTTTTTAGATTATCTCTAGTAATATATTTTTTTTAAATTAATTTATTCTAACTATGGTCACACATTTATATAATAAAAAAATTAAAATTAAAATTAAAATTAAAATAATAAACAATGAAACAAATAATAATTCAAAATACCCAATCAAATTCAGAGATTATCTCTGGTAATATATTTTTTTAAAATTAATTTATTCTAAATTCGCTATAGTAACACATTTATATAACAAAAAAATTAAAATTAAAATTAAAATTAAAATAATAAACAATAAAACAAATAATAATTCAAAATATTCAATCAATTTTTTAGATTATCTCTAGTAATATATTTTTTTTAAATTAATTTATTCTGACTATGCTATGGTCACACATTTATATAATAAAAAAACGAAAATTAAAATTATAATAATAAAAAATAAAACAAATAATAATTCAAAATATCCAATCAATTTTTTAGATTATCTCTGGTAATATATTTTTTTTAAATTAATTTATTCTAAATTCGCTATAGTAACACATTTATATAACAAAAAAATTAAAATTAAAATTAAAATTAAAATTAAAATAATAAACAATAAAACAAATAATAATTCAAAATACCCAATCAATTTCCTAAATTATCTCTGATAATATATTTTTTAAAAATTAATTTATTCTAACTATGGTCACACATTTATATAATAAAAAAATGAAAATGAAAATTATAATAATAAAAAATAAAACAAATAATAATTCAAAATATTCAATCAATTTCTTAAATTATCTCTAGTAATATATTTTTTTTAAATTAATTTATTCTAACTATGCTATGGTCACCCATTTATATAACAAAAAAAAAATTAAACTTAAAATTAAAATAATAAAAAATAAAACAAATAATAATTCAAAATAACCAATCAATTTCTTAGATTATCTCTGGTAATATTTTTATTTTTAATTAATTTATTCTAAATATGTTATGGTCACACATTTATTCCTAGTAAACGTATTTATGTAAATGCTATCGATAACACCTGTTGCTAATCCTATGAAACAATATTCAAAGATTGATCACAATTATCTCAATTAATTAACAGTTAATTTGTTTAAATTAACACGATTCTTATATAATAATATCATATATTTCTAAATGAAAATATATTTTATATTATATACAGAGTGATTATCTCCACCAGCTCATGGTGTATGATAGTATGATAGTAGCAGAAAAGTAAATAAGGAAAAAAATGCATACAAAATTTAGGAATAAAACATGACATTAGTATGTTTTTTGCTACATTGAGTCATTTTCGAGATTATTTGTGTCAATTTTGTTTTTTTTAAATACAATGTTGTTTTAATACTTATTTTTGGATAATGACTCTGACAAAAGGAATTCAATGATGTGCAAATATTAAATGCTGAACCTGACAATGACCAATAAAAACTATTCGGAAAATAAAAATTTTGTCTGAGTTATGTGTCAAGTGCTATCTTTTTGAATATAATTAATTTTGAGCACAATATTTCTACAAAAAAAAAAAGAAAAATAAATAATAATAATAATAATAAATATATATATTATATGTATAATTATATTAATTTTAATTAATTTATTATATTACTATAATATAGTATTATAGTAATGTATTACATTACTAATGTACATTACTACAATATTAATATTAAAATTAATATAATATAATATATAATTTTTTATATTATATTATATTAATTTTAATTAATTTATTATATTACTATAATATAGCATTATAGTAATGTATTACATTACTAATGTACATTACTACAATATTAATATTAAAATTAATATAATATAATATATAATTTTTTATATTATATTACATTATATTAATTTTAATTAATTTATTATATTACTATAATATAATATTATAGTAATGTATTACATTACTAATGTACATTACTAGAATATTAATATTAAAATTAATGTAATATAATATATAATTTTTTATATTATATTATATTATATTAATTTTAATTAATTTATTATATTACTATAATGTAGTATTATAGTAATGTATTACATTACTATTGTACATTACTACAATATTAATATTAAAATTAATATAATATAATATTAATAAATTATATTATATTATATTAATAATATATATATTATAAATACAATTATATATATTGTATATAAGTATGAGTTTGTTTTGATTGTTTATGTATTCGTACGGTTCGTGTTATCTTTTAGATTATTTCCAATCAAAATTTCTTTACTAATAATAACACAAATTCTTACCCAAAAAAAAAAAAAAAATAGATAAAAAAGTAATTATATTTATGATAATTTTGTAATCTATCTTTTTAAAAATATTCTTTTTTTTTTCATTCCAACAACAAATAAAAACAAAAGATATATATTTAATTAAAAATCGTGTGCACGTACACATAAATCATTTGAATTTTTTTTTATTTCTAATTATTATTAATATAAAAATATTTTCTTACCAATATAATTATACAGACACACACACAACCAGAGAGATCCTTTTTCCTCTTGCCAAACAAAATAAAACAGAAAAAACAAAAACCAAAAAAAAAACAAAAACAAAAAGAACTAGCAAAAGAAAATAAATCGATTCGAAAATAAATGAAACAAAAATTGCAACAAATTTTCACAAATTATTCCGAGAGTCAGTGATTTCTGTCGAAAATCAGAATCCCATGGTTTTAATTGAATAATAAACGGTCTTATTTTATTAACAAAATCAACGACATGGTATACACCATCGATTGAAGAAATATACGATGCACTCTCGTCGCATCTCGATACTGAATGTCGATTGAAAACCGGCGAAATGCCTTCTTCTTCTTCTTCTTTTTCTTCTTCTTCCTCTTCCTCTGGCTTTCCAACCCCACTGCCACCGTCTTCTTACGAGTCGCCGACCGCCTTACGGAATAATATAATGATAGACAGTGAAAGAGAAGAATAGGGGGGGGGAATGAGCTAAACGTAAGGGAGGATGATGAGTAAGAGTGAGAGAGAGAAAAAAAAATATTTAAAAAAAACAATGATCACGCATAATCAAACTCATTAAAATTTTCATACAAGTTTAAATAAATCGAAACAAGTTTATAAATTAAATATGTATGTATGCATATATATTGTAATTTTTCTTAACCCTTTGCATGCTGAATACTATTACTTTAAAATATATTTTGTAAATTATGTTCAATAATTAAAAGTTTTTCTTTATAAATATAATTTAATTAATTAATATATACATTACATTATTTTACAAACACATATGCGTCCATAGCACTCAAAGGGTTAAACAAAAAAATACCATTAGCATAATTACTATATGTATATTTAATATTTAATTAAATTACATATAGTATTATGTATAGAAAATTAATAATATATTATTTTTATTATATATATATAATATTTTAATATTAAAATTAATTTATTTTATATATATAATTATTATTATAATATAATAATTTTTATTTATTACATATAT